CGAAAACAGCATCCAAATAGAAAACATCAAGCATATGGGTATAATATATTAGGCTTTGTAAGGCACTGTAAAATGTTTTTGGCAGATACGCCTTCTGAATTAAATTTTTAGTTAATATTAAAATGATTCTATGCTCCTACATGTGGGCTGGCAAATGAAGGGTAAAAGAAACAGGTCTAGAATTTAAAATTCATTGCATATAATCTACAAGATGCATGCTCCACAGGCAAATGAATAAAGACTCTCTATGCTGAAAATACAAACCGCTTCCTAAAAACACAGACCTGAAACAGGGCTATGAAGGCATGGAAAAATGGAACGCTAACCTCAGCTGTGTCTGATGCAATGCAGATGTAAAACAGTAAAACAAAACTCCTGGATTCAAAAGAGTCAACTTTAGTAAGTACTATCAAAACCCTGCTTTTCATAATCAGAGGACACTCTTTTAAAAGCAGCTCCAGCTGACATCATAGTCAGCAAAGTATTTCAGAAGAAATAGGAAACATCTCTTAGGGTTAAAGAGAAGCGTCTGTCAAATAAACTTGATGTAATGTATTCCTCCATCTCTTAACACTTAGAAAGGGACTTGCAAAGAAAAATGTGTAAATAGGATTTATCTTAAATTAAGCACATGGAACCTTTCCCAACACTGTAAGAATTCAGATAGTTTAAAGAGGATCTGGATGTTCTCTTTATAATTTGTAGATTGTTTAGAAACACAGTAACTTTCTTACTAGCTGAGATTTGTAGGCCCTTGCCAAACTTTGCAGGGGAGCAGTTTCTGAAATTTACACCTAATACAACATTCTAAGTTTTAGGTACCTTGAAGAGAATATGTCTTACAAACTTTCCACACCAGGTGAATTACTTTCCCTCCCATCTCTCTCAGACAATGGGGCCCTCATTCTTCTACCCTGTACGCCGAGGGAAAACCATCACCACCAACCCTTGCCGCCAGCCCCTCTCCAAATCCCCCCATTCTGATTTCAAAGCTCTACAGAATCCATCTGGCTGAGAAGAAGTGCCCACAGAGGCTGGGAGGGAGAGAGGCCAAGTGGGCCTGGCCAGAATTGGTAGCTGGCGGGGGAGACGAAGGCTGGGCACATCACACACACACACACACACACACACACTCCTGATGTTACAGGATGTCAGAATTGTAGACTTTGTGGTGGGATGCCAGTTTTTGTTGAGTCTAGCCCTGGGGGAAAGGCCATAACTGTAACCAGACAAGGATTTAGGGCCTTGGCTTACAGTCCTGAGCTTTCAGGTTGGGCTCCAGGCCCAGGAGGGTGCTTCCGGAAACTTCTCCAAATAAGTTATCTTGGATCGCCCATATCTACCTCCAGCCTATTTCCCAACCATATTAGTCAGTCTTACCTATTAGGCACAAGTATCCATTCATCCATTTCCCCCCCACTTTTCATTTAATAAACATTTATTGGGTGCTTTCTATGTGCAAGGTGCAGATACAATAATGTGTAAGACATCGCCCCTGACTGTAGGAGCTTGTGGGAGAGAAACAGATAGATGTGGCCACAGATCAACACAACTGAGTGCTAGAGGTTATGGTAAAGAGCGTATAGGTTGCATGGGGGCGAAAAGGAGAGAATTAACTTCTCTGCCCCACGTACTCCTCTGCTACTGTTACCTGCTCGGGCCCCGAACCCCCTGAACTCACTCGTCTTCCCTTCACAAACCCCTGCCACTGTGTCCCTTGGAACATGCAACCAAACTTCCCAGCATTTTTTACTTTGCTACAAGATCTCTGCACGTCTCCGCCCTGGCTAAAACCTAGCTTTCTCAAAAATGATGCCACTTTCCTCAAACGCTTGTCCAGTGGCATCTGCTCTTTCTCCCACTTTCGCTGACTCACGGGGCAAGAAAATGTCGACGCGACCTCTTGCTGCCGACAGTTACTGCTGATTCTTAACATTATCACTCAGCTACCTCTTCTCGAAGTGCAGCACCTGCTCGACTCCACCCTTTCTCTTCTTTTGGAGGGAAGAGGATTCAACCAAAGTCATGGGGATTTTTCAACTTACATCTCTTAATAACCAGCTCAGCTCTTGTTTGGCTGTACTCATCCGCGTGCTTCTCAACCATGTTTCATCACCGGCCTGCAGTCTAGATGGGAGTTTTTTCTACATTCAACAACACACTTTCCACAAGTATTTCTGCCAGAGAGGCCTAAGAGTAAAGTCAAGAAAGACAACAAAAAGTAAAGTAAAATGGGGTAGTACTTGTTCTCATACAAGGCACATAACAAGGCTTATTATTTAAAATGTGGGTAGAGTAGGACCTACATCATAGAGTAATTGAGGATTAACTGAAATGACATACGTAAAGAACTAAGAACAGGGCGTGACACATAACAGATGTTAACTATTATTACTGTATCCTCCAAACTATATAACATACACAAAGCTTAAGCAACGATATCAAACCATTCTAGAATCAAATCTAATTTAATCCTTCACATTACTTTAGCATACTCCACAGTCTTGTATTAACTGACGCTATAACAATGTGTGAGCTGCTCAAAATGAGGTGATTTTTCTCCTTGCTTGCCTTCACATTGCTCACCAAAGGCCCATTTTTAAGACTTCATGATTTTTTTAAGCTATTTTAAAACCACTTTCTAACCTCTCTTTTGAACCCCTCAGCACTTTCTTCCCCTTTGGATTCTAAGACAGCAGTTTGCTTTTCCTTCTGCCTCTCTTACCATTTGTTTTGTCTCCGTGGCAGGCTCCCCTCCCTCTGGCTGCCCCTTGCAGTCTATGTTTCTCAGGGTCATCCCTCCTTTTCGCTGCTTCTCAAAGTCTTTCCAAGATGCTGTGCCACCTTCATTTACACCTTTATCGTCTCTGCCTTGAACTACTGCAATGCTCTAGGTGGTATTCTGGTGTCTAGTTTCTCCTGATTGCATATATCCCTCATGCTGCCACCACAATAATTTTTTTTTTTTAATGTCAAGTGTTTATGACAAGGCCTCCATCATCCCCTGTTCCATGTAAGAAAAAGCCCTAAACCTCAGCACACCATCCAAGGGCCCTTCACATCAGCTCTGACCAATCCCTCCAGTCTCATATCATCTTGGTCCACCTACTCACCCAGAACTCCAGCCACATGGAAACAGTCTTCAAACATGCCCTTCTTCAAATCCTCACCTTTCCATGTTTCCTCTTCCTCAAGTGCCGTCTTTCTCTGTTCCCAACCTGATCCAGCTCCTTTCTCTATTAAGCATTGACCACAGCGCATTTTAAATACCTGTTTATGCGTCTATTGCCCCAGGAAAACAAAAGCATCTAAGTACAGGGAAATGGCTTTTTCTTCTCTTTAGCTCCAGAATCTAGTATCAAGCCAATGCTCAACAAATATTTAATGACTGGGCTTCCCTGGTGGCGCAGTGGTTGAGAGTCTGCCTGCCGATGCAGGGAACACGGGTTCGTGCCCCGGTCCGGGAAGATCCCACATGCCGTGGAGCGGCTGGGCCCGTGAGCCATGGCCGCTGAGCCTGCGCGTCCGGAGCCTGTGCTCCACAACGGGAGAGGCCACGACAGTGAGAGGCCCGCGTACCAAAAAAAAAAAAATTTAATGACTGAACTGTGAGCAATCAACAAACATTAAAAAAAACTTTTTAAAAAAGATGCAGTTTTAGAATGGATATATGTGTCTGTATAACTGAACCACTTTGCTGTACACCTGATACTAACACACTGTAAATCAACTACACCTCAACATAAAATAAAAATTAAATTAAAAAAATAAATAGAGATGCAGTTTTTAAATTTCTCCTTAGGTGGAACTGAGTGAAAGGAAAAGGATGCAAATGAAACACATGATCTCAAATCTCAAGGTAAACATGGATATTCTGAAGAGCGAGAAGGAAACACATAAGGACAGCAGTGCACAATACTCAAAATGTGGATTATCGTAGAAGTTCAAGGTTGTGGAATCCATGACAGTATCTACTGTCATGCGCTGCATAACACATACAACCTTATGACCTCCCTCCTTAAAATCCTTCAATGTCTTTTTAAAGATAAAGCCTCATCCTTAATCTGGCACACAAGGGCCTCTGAGATAAATCTGCCTCCATCTCCTAAGCCTCATCTCACACTCCCCTCTACCTTACTCGCTGAAATTTAGCCACACAGGCCTTCTTTCCCACTTGAGCTTTTGCACAAGCAAATCTACCAACAATGTCTTTCATATTCTCTCCTCTCTAATTCACTCTTATACCTTGACTGCCAGCCCAAGGATTCCTTAAATTAGCTGCATTACATGGTGACAACGCGTGAGTCCATTTTCCCACATCACATTTGGAAAGCAACAGAGTATAGTGTATGATTGTAACTATAATAGATTATGTGTCCTTGGGCATATACCTATTTAAACTCTTTTATGTCTTGCTTTCAGCGCCTGTAAAACTGAGGTAAGTGTAGAACTCACTTCATAAGATTATTCAAGGGGTTAAAGGAGATAGTTCACGTACAGCACTTGGAATTGTGTTACTACATAGTAAAAGCCCTCAAAGGTCACTGATTATCATACTTACTTAGTTGTCACCCTGCCCACCCCAAGAGTTCCTCTACTGCTGGAGACCAGGAACCACACGAGCCTGTTCATTTCTGTATTCTTAGTCTCAGCCCAGAGTCCTGAACATAGCTGGCCTTCGATAAGTAATTTAAAAAAATAAAAGCAAACCGGCAAAAGCTTTGGCTTCCACGTTTGCCTCATTAGCTGGATGACTGCACGCGAATCACTCATTCCACCTGGGCCTCGTTGCCCTTATGAAAAACGTAATCTCGACCTCAAAGAGATTTTGGATGAACAGGGCGATGCATCCAGCAAAGTACACTGCCCATCTCCCCACGCCGCACAAGCGGTCGGGGCTGATAACGAACAGAGTGAACAACCGCGTCTCCCCCCCCGCACCCTCCTCCAGCCCACACCCCCTTACTGCGCCCTCGGTCCCCGATCCCTCGGGACTTCAGGCGTGGGAGCTCCGGCCCCGTGCGGCTCCCTCCAGGTGCCCCGCACCCTCCTTCCTTCCTTGCCCGGACGGACGCACTTCCGGCGGATGTGGGTGGGGGCAACCCCGGAAACGGAAGTGAGCCGCGGGGTCGGCTGATGGTAACGGGTCGAGAAGCTGTTCGCAGAGCGAGTTGAAGATGGTGAGTGAGACCCTGGGCGACCCGAGTGGCCTGCGGGCTCGGGTCCGTGGGCGCAGGAGCAGGCCGCCGCTCCCCAGCCCGTTCCCCGGTGGCGGCGGCGGCGGCGGCGGCGGCGGCGGCGGGAGGAGGAGGCCGGCCTCGGGCGCCATGATTTGTCAAGTCACGGGGTCCGGGGGTTCGTGGCCGCCGCCGGGGCAGGGCTCCGGCGCTGGTCCCGCGAGCGGCGCCTCGGCTTCATCCTTTCCCACCGCCTCCTCTCTTCCATCCCCAAGTCCCCCGGTCGGCCCCGACCCCGGTCCCTTCCCGTAGTTGGCGCCGAGCCGGAAAGGACACCCCCAAAAGTGCAACGGTCTGGGGTGCGGCGCGGCCGACTACCCCTCCCCCGAGGGGAGGACCTTTAGGAACCGAGTGCCTGACATCCTCACCCGCCCCTGACCCTCGAAACTGCCTTGATAACAAACCCACAGGTGTGGGTCGCATTTCCATCACTCAGCTTTACCCCACAAACATTTTTGGGAGCTCGTAGTATGGTAGGTGTTGGAGGGAGGAAAATTGGATAGTTGCTACTCCCCGTTTGTCAGTATTGTTAGTGGATCTGGTCCTGCCCCGCCCCTTCTCTTTTTAACTTAAAAGTTTGGTATTTGGGAGAGATTCTTGAATCGTCATTGCTCGCGACTCTGATACCACCAGTACTGCTGCTGGGCCATCCAAATCTAGAAAGTTTCTGTTGGTAAATACTGCTGAACATAGTAAAGAGGTTTTATAAACATCCTCAAGTAACTAGTGTTAATTAACTTTTCATAGATTTGTTTTCCTCTGCTGCTTTATTAGAAATATCATGTACTGATTCTGATGTTTTACAGGAGGGAATTGGGAAAGTGATAACAGTAGATCCCAGAGATCAGAATCCCCCTTTTCTTTATGTGTAGAAGAAACTTTTCTTCCGTTACTGTACAATAAAGCAGTCTGGGAGGGGGAGAACCTTTATGTAGGACAGCAACAGAAGGTATTTTTGGAAAGGTACAATCATACAACTCTGGTCCTGGAAAGAGTTCAGGCAGCTGGAAGGATGAGTAAACAGGGCCAGAGAGCTGCTGTGCCCTCGTCAGGTTAGTGGCATCCACACTAGATTTCAGCTTCTTTTCCTAGTTAACTGACTTCTATGTGGGAGAGTTGAAACCTGTTGTACAGCTTCTTGAGTTCCAGGCTTCGGACCTTGGACATTATTCAGGCAAGACATTGACAAACCCGTGAAAGGTTTTCGTTTTTCGTTTTGTTTGTTTGTTTTTTTTTAACAGCTTTGGTGAGGAAAATTGTTAATCAGACAGTTTTATCAGACAAATCTTGCTGTGCAGAATTGGAAAATAGAACAGGCTAGAGGCAGCGTTGTTAACATTATCCAGGTGTGAGAGCCTGGACTGGGGTGGTAGATCGAAGAAACCCGGACACTGCAGTACCTGACCTAGTAAAATATACAAATAAAGTAAAACATCAATTTAAAAAGCTGGTTTCTCAGAATAGTTTCTCCTAGAAGAGTATAACACTCCAAACTACCTGCAGCTGTTTTACGTTTTTCTGCAGAATTGCAGGGATGATGTATTTCAGCAACAAGTAACTTAAACTCAGCATCTTGTGTTTTAACTATGGTAACATGTATTACATTTTAATTGCGTGTTTACTCTATCTTCATTAGATTAAGCCCTGGAAGACAGATATGTATCTTCAGTATCTAGTAGAGAACCTGCCGCATAGTAGATATTTAATAAATATTTGGTGATTAAATTATAGTATAAATGAGTAGGGTGACCATACACTAATACCAAATATACCGTGAGTCTTTGTTTTTATTTCTTTTTATTTATACCATCCTGATTAGGTACATTTATTTTTCATAGGTAGTACCCTCTTATGGGAACCAAATACTTTCTGAAATTCCCTTTCTTTCTTAGCTTCTGTGACTACTCTCTTCTAGCTGTTCTCTCTGTTCTTAATCCCATTTTCCGTGTTCTTGTCCATAAGGAATGGTATTCCCTAGGATTCTGCCCTCAACATTTTTCGTTCTGTGCCGATCATTCTAACCTAAGGGGGGGGATCTTTCCAATAAAAGTAAATCTGATCATGCCATAACCCTTCAGAGGCTCTCTATTTCAGAATAAAACAGAAGTTTCTTTGCATATTTAAGCCTTTTCATTGTTTCTTTTTGCCAGCCTTTACTGCTCTACTCAGACATGTAGTTAGCTGGTCATCTCAGACTACTTATAGCTTGTTCATTTATATTTTTATACTTTTACCCATGCTCTTGTTTTACTTGAATGCCTTTCAATCTGACAGCACTCAGAGATCAACTCAGGAATCCTTCCTACCCCAGATTCGATTTTATTCACTGAACCATGTATATTCCTCTACCATAATGCTAAGGCTCATGGTACTTATCTAGACTGGGCCCTCTGAGGGCAAAGACCTCATCTTTTCTTTCCAGTGCTTAAACAGTGTTTTTTACATAGATGTTCAGTGTTTTTTTGAACTGTTTATATTTAATAGTGTTTTTCCTTTCTGTTGTAGAATGCCAGAGGACTTGGATCTCAGCTAAAGGACAGTATTCCAGTTACTGAACTTTCAGCAAGTGGACCTTTTGAAAGTCATGATCTTCTTCGAAAAGGGTATATGGGGGAATTGTGACTTTGACTTTGTTATGGTAAAATGTGAATTGTTTCTCACAGTATTCTTTAAATATTTTGATAGGCCATAAATGTATATTTAATTTAGGAGGTAGCAAGTAATACACTTTAGGGGAGGAGGGGGAGGGTAGGATTGGGTGTGTTCTATAGTGGAAGAAGCATCTTATCAGAGTAGTAGGTTCCCAGGAAAGGGCATCTTCCTAGGAGATGTTACCCAGTAGCATGATTTGGTAGGATTCTTCTTTGTGCTGCTGATAACTTGGAGAGCTGTTTGTCTCTTTATCTTATTAACTATTGGAGTAATTGACTTTTCTTTGGGAGACACTAGAACATAGCAGTGAAGAGCATGGACTTTGGGTTTTAGTCCTGGCTCCGCCATTTACTAGATGTATGCCTGTGGGCAGGTTACTTAAGTGTTGTACGTCTCAGTGTCCACACCTGTGAAATAAGGCTAGTCATAGCATATGTGTTATTTTTGAATGAGCTAACACATGGAAAATACTTAGACCAGTACATGGCATTAGTAAGCACTGGGTAAGTCTTAGCTGCTCTTATTTTTCTTTTCTAGTTTCAGTACAGTTATGCCCCTTCCCTCGATTTTCTATATTTTTCTGTATGTTTAGGTCTGAATTTCTAGTACTGGTCCTTTTCCTTGGCAGATTGTTTTCTGCTTAATCAAATAAGGATAATGCTTTCCTCCCCTCTTTGTATGTACTGTGTTTTTTTGAATTTTATATCTAATTTTAAGGTGTTTAGTTTTACTGTCTTAGAATATCATTCTAATATTGGTCTCTGGGAGCAGACATAATACCTCACTATTGTCTTTTCATTCCGTAGTAAAAGATGCACTATATTGCCTTTGGAATTGGCAGTAGTATAGTATAATAAGGTTTATAAGCTAGCCAGTAACCAATCCGGGTGATTCGTTTTTGTTTTTTTTGTTTTCACGTGAAATGCTTCTTTTCCTTCCCAGTTAGACTGTCAGATTGCCATGAGCGGAGCCATTATCAAATTCCACTTTGCGGATAATGTTCTGTACAAAGATAGTATTCAGTAAACGATTGTTGCAGGATTTCTAAGGTTTCCTTCAGCTCTCTGATCCTGGTTTGGACAATAAGATAGTCATCTTTATATATCTAGGGTGATAAAGACCAGCGGCCTGGTTCTAGCTGTATATCACCTAATATGGTACTTTATACATAGTAGGTATTTGGTAAATGTCAAACAGATCATTCAACATGTTTACCAAAAATATATTAACTATTGAATATGCATTAGATCTGCACAGAAGAGGCTTAGATATTTTATATAATACAAGAATCATGTCATCAGAGTAATAGTATTAAACATACTTTATTAAATTTCTTCTAGGTACAGGGCATCATTTAGCACCATTTTTTGGGGGGGTTCTCCCCAGTGAATTGAAGTCTTCACCACCAGTATCTATAATAGATGCATTTAAAACAATATTCAGTAAATTTGACTTCTTGTCTTCCTTTTGGTGTATAGTTCTATGAATTTTAAAACGTGTTAATTCCCAGAACCATCACCACCACACTCAGGATACAGAACAGTTTACTCATCCCCCCAAAACTCCCTTGTGCCATTTATTTATACTACAACAGTGATAGATGTGATTTTGAGCTCTGGGTATTCAGTAATATATAATCTTCCATCTTAAATGTTTATTTTCAGTTTTTCTTATGTGAAAAATGAACTTTTGCCCAGTCATCCTCTTGAATTATCAGAAAAAAATGTAAGTATGTTACCTGTGTTTTTATCCTCTAGTAGAGAAATATTTTTAATAATACTTCATTAAGACACTTCTGGTATTGAGCATTTAACCATGAAGAACTTGAGGCCTTGTTTTCAATATCCTAATCTTTGAGTTATCATTGTATTGCTTCACTAAAGCTCCCTTTCTACACATTCTTTTCTGTCTTTTTTTTTTTTTTTTTTTTTTTGCGGTACGCGGGCCTCTCACTGCTGTGGCCTCTCCCGTTGCGGAGCACAGGCTCCGGACGCACAGGCCCAGCGGCCATAGCTTATGGGCCCAGCCGCTCCGCGGCATGTGGGATCTTCCCGGACCGGGGCATGAACCCGTGTCCCCTGCATTGGCAGGCGGACTCTCAACCACTGCGCCACCAGGGAAGCCCTTCTTTGTCTTTTTTATAGACATTTCTAGAGGTTAGTCCACCTTTCCATTCCTTTCATATGTTCTCCTTTGATGATCCTGTTTTCTTTTATATTTTTCCCCTGCCATTTTTTTTTCGGTATGCGGGCCTCTCACTGTTGTGGCCTCTCCCGTTGTGGAGCACAGGCTCTGGACGCGCAGGCTCAGCGGCCATGGCTCACGGGCCCAGCCGCTCCGCGGCATGTGGGATCCTCCCGGACCGGGGCACGAACCCGTGTCCCCTGCATTGGCAGGCGGGCTCTCAACCACTGCGCCACCAGGGAAGCCCTCCCCTGCCATTTTTGCTGTTGATCTTCCTAAGCCCATATCTCTAGCCTTGGCCTCTTTTTCAAGCTCTGCATCTCCAAGTTACTGCTGGTCACAGTAGGTGCACAGGTGAATATGACATAGTCCCCATCCTTAAGGTGCTGAAATTTTAATGGGAGGATAAGCAGTGGATAGGGGCTTCATAAAGTGTTGTAGAGGACCAGGGATGGAGCAGCCATCTGTGGAAAGCTTTCTAGAAGAGGGCATTTGAATAGTTTTAGAACAGTATTAACCAGATAAATAGCTGGGGAAAGGTTATTCCCCAGAGGGTAAAGCTTGTACAGATGTCCTAAAGACAACCTAAAGGGTTTTTAAATAACATATTCAGAGCAAGAAGAAGGAGGTGTCTTACTACTTGGGGATGATGGTGCAGTGTTACCCAGTTAACAGGAAGCTGACCTATTCCGTTTTTTTTGTTATGTTTTGTTTCCTCCCTCTTCAGCAAGGGGAAAGATTTTCCGTTAAGAAAGAGTAGAACAAATAATTTGATGATGAAATTGAAGTTCAAATTAGACGAGAAAATAAAGGGGCCCCTGACTGCTTTAGCTGCATTCTGGTTTCATGCTCAGAAGATGAGAAGGTTGTTTTTCAGAGACTTCAGATTAGCCATAGAAAACATATAAATCAGGTTTATGGAAGAAAAAGCTGATACGGATAGCTCGTTTTGATAAATAAGTGAACTACATCATAGATGACCCAATAGACCAAAAGACTAGGCCAGAACTTCCAGAAAAACAAAGAGGTGAATGTGAAGTTCTGCATTTGGGTTCAAAGATAAATTATACATATTTAGATGGGGTAAACCTGACTTTTCTTTTT